TCCGTGAGTGCCAACAGTTGGGCAAGTTCTAATGAACCGGAAGCTTCTGGAAGTATATCACACCCAGTTCGCGAAGCAAACCCTCACAACTCAAGTCCTTATTCACACCCTGCAACTTCATCAGCACAACACGCAGTGGTTTCTCGATCACCAATTTTATATCCAGCCGAACAGCCTGCTGATCCCTCCATCCAGGTATTTCGTGAGGCATGTGAACAGGGTGGAATACGAATACGCATTAATTTGGAAGACAGCAAACGTCATCTCCGAGCCGGCAACAAACAGGGTGAAACTGGTGTGTCAAGAAACACCGATACACCAAGTAAGACCTCAAAGATATCCGCGAACGGGAACTTTAAGAATCAAAACGAAACGGTGAGTGACCTTGAATGTTTAGATGGGAGTCTTCACTGAAAGTTATATACTCTGTCCATCCTATTTACCACCTTTAAACCCCGATAAGGTAACCGATGAAATGATTTATTATCTAGCAATCAGGGTGTCTGATTGAAGGGGTTTTTGAATAGCAAATTAGAAAGGCCAACTTGTAGAAGATTGAAATCTGAAACAGGGTTGACATGATAGATTGACTTTGGTCTGTGAACACGAACTATGGATAGCCCAATGCAAATTGAAAAATTGCACGCCCGGGATATCTCCATCGATTTGTTCCAAGCAGCGTATGTAAAACAAATTAAAAGCAAGATTTTCAGTTGAAGAAATCTGTCGTTCTTTGCTCAGTAGTATTTCATCCCGACGTGTTAAGTCAGGAACAGTCATATATTACACGTATCACTTGGTGATGTACAACACCCAGAATGAATAATACTGAGCAGATTCCATCAATTCATAATATGCATTCAAATGCTTCATTTGACTCGTTGTGTCGTTTGAAGAATAAAAAGATACACTGCTTAATGTTCGACCAACAACACTGCGGACTCATTCTATTAAAACGCGATTCGCACCCCTACCGGAACACCAAAGTCACCTTTTTGGGTTCGGAATGGAGGCATCTTGTGCACGGAGCGACACGGTTGACAGTCAACAAGCGACACATGAGAAACATATCAATATTACAGGTTTTTGCTCATGTGGATTCTAAGCAGATAAAAGTTGTGTGCTCTTGTGTTCGTCTATGAGTCACACATCGTTTTTGTTGTTTGGGGATTCTTCACGGAAAATACAACCGAAAATGTGAGGATAACAATTTGAGTGTTTTGATTATATTGATAGACACTAGATAACTGTTTTGCTCATACAATCCATCCTTGTTTATTAAAATCGAAAGTTCCGTGTGCTTCGGGGAATAAAATTTCCCATTTGAGATAAGACAGTTCCTTTTCCATACCAAACTGTAATCGTATATGAGGATAAGTTTTTTAAGTGCCAGAAGCTTAATGGCAAATTTGCACCTCCATTTTCCACTTTCCTCCTTTTGTGATCCAGTTGAAGATAATCGGGTCCGAGAAAGACACAATGTCAGATGTGAAATTTCAGGTTGGCGGTGGCGGTGGCGGTGGAGGTGGTGGGCCACCGAATATAAAGGGTCTGTGGAAACGTGCATTTCATTCTTTGCGTAAAGATAAGGTTAGTTGATCGACTCCGATTGCGGTCATCGGGTTCAGTTGTTTCCGTTTCATTTTGTTTCATACAGTTTGTGTGTGCGTGTGTTCCAATACGATGGAAATGTTTGTGATGACCGACAAAGAGCAAGGAACAGCTGTTTCCTCCCGTTTCGACCATCAAGAGTGCTTGGTGCCTCTGAACAATCGATCGGGGTTAATACAGGCTTGTTACTCAAAATTTATGTTTCTTTCTTGAGATTGCCACAAAGTTCTACCAGGATTATAGCAGGTTTGCATAGACCATTTTAGTTTGATTTGATTCGTTTTGTAATGATCAACTATGTTAGGCCTTGATGGTGTTGATAAGATATCCAAAGGTTTGTGCGCGGTATGATTTACCAACCGTTCCGTGGTGATTGATCTATTATAACAGGCGGTATATGTTTAGCTACGATTTTATGATTCCAACGTTCATTCACGGTATAGTTTTGACAACACAGAGAATAAATTCGAAGTTATTACTTTGGTGTTTTAATACACCACCATTTTCTAAACAAACCATGGAATTCGATAATAAAATTAATTGTTGATATGCACGCCTTTTGTTCGAAATACTACAAAATCCATGTTTTTTTCTTCTTAAAGGGAAAGCGTGAACCCAGCGTTTCCAAGAGGAGAGAACCACCAAGCTCTTCTGGTAAGTCACAACACGAGGACTTCTTCATACCATTTTGTACTTGCACGCCACTGCGAGCAAGTCTTATGTTCTTGCAGTTTGAAACTACTGGTACGAAAATGAGAACACACGCTACCGACCGTATCTTTCATGTAAGAAACAGTTCTTTGTTTTAGATGATATTAGCTCTATATAACTCTAAATGGTAACGATTATCTGATGGGAGAAGTCCTTTTTGTGATCAAAGTTGAAATAAAGCATTGATCAATTCAGTTCCTGGGGCATCCTTATTTTGCGGTAAAAGAAAACATTTAATAATATGGCCCCCCATCACATAAGGCATTTTAGGGTTGCATAAAACCCTAGTAAAATGAATAATTTAGCATAAGAGAAGTGTAGTAATTTTCAGCTGTCTGCTATCACTCTCTAACAACACAATTGCAGGCACAGTTCACAAAGTGAAGGAAATACGTGAACGCAACGGAAACAGATAGTGTACTCAATTCGGAAACCAACATGCAATTGTGGCATTGTTTATTATATCTGGTAAAGTTGAACTGGATTTCAGTAAAATAGGTCACTTCATTTCATTACAGCAAGGGGTTATACTGAACGAACTCGGACGATCACGTGAGGTAATATTCAACTTTCGATTTACAGTGCACCAGAAGGAAACCCAAAGTTCGACAGTGATGAGTGCAAAAATGCAATCTACATGTACTGATTGCAATAACATAATGTAATGACTGTAGCTGGAGTATTTCAAATGAGTGGCTCTTGAAGAGCACTGTTAGTCAATGTAACAAGTATTTTGTCTTATTATGGGTAAAAATCATGCACACATATAACTCACATACACAACGTAGGAAACCGGTTTTGCGAAGAAATTTATTTTCAATGTATCGCATCAGGTTGTCATAATAATAAGCCAATCAGATATCAGTTCTATGATCGTTCTATACCTTGCACCGCCGGATGTGAACGAAATTTATTTGCAAACATGGTCTTCTACGTATTACTCAGTTAAGTTCTGCGGCTAAAAAGACTTCATAAATAAACTGTTTCATCATAGTTTTTCCTATGAGTATAGTTTCTAAAGCTACTAGAAAATCTCAAAGTGGACTAAGGGAAAACTAATCACCCACCCACCCACAGTCACACAGTCTTGCCCTTTGATCTATTTCATGGTTGGATGCGCCAATTGATATCTTTCTCCACTGTGTTCCCGTCCAGATGAAATCGATCCCGTGTACCATCTGCTAAGATGCGCCGCAAGCAAAAGCCAGTCCACTGCAATTGCAACCAGCGGGATTGGTACACCAAAAACACCTGTGGATAGAATGAAACCCAACACTTTGGAATCACCAAATTCAAGTTAGTTTTAACTTCGTTTCCATATGCAAATTGGAAAATCCGAACAGATTTGGTCAGTGCTTTTTCAGTGCTTTTTCTCTCTAAATGAAAACACAATAGGTGTTTCAAAGCACTTGAACGTGTTCGAATCCCCTTTAGTACCTCAGATAGGAGATCCCTGCCAACGAATCCTACTGAATAGGATCAAAATGGCCTATGGAACATTGGGTGAATTACATTATGTTGACAGTTGGGTTTTAACCAAACATGCAGTTAAGCTTATCTGAGATAATAATTTCGCAATGTAAACAATCCGACAATTTTGAGAATAGAAAATAAGGTTTATGAAAGTTAACATGGCCCATATGTAACTTTTTACTTGATTGTTTTTTTTGAACTTCCTTGTTGTTCACCGGATTCTAGTTATCTCAATAAATCGTTCACAGATTATTCATTAGGGTTGCTTGGTTTTAACGAAAGTTGAATAGGTTGACAATACCAAAAATACGTTACTCTTCCTTGAAAGAGCATGTGAGATGATTTCATTGAAAACGGTAAAATTATGAATTATCATTCAGTTATCATTTTTACACACAAAATTTGACATCGGTCTGATAGGTGCCGCCGGGTGACGGGTGGAATTGAGAGATTACCTGAGTTTCTCAACGGCTAATTTCACAGTTTTAGATTGAAGCTATCCCGATGTCGTCATATATCTTCTCGTTATCCTTGATGTTGTTCGTACTATTTTTCACTGTTGTATTTGTTACATTTCACCTTCCATAATTGATGTTGTTCCTATAACATGGTTGCTGCTGTTGTTGTCATTTCCCTTCAATCCCTCCATCCCTACCTCCCTCACCCGTTCGCACGCGTATACACTCCGAAAAACAAACACTCTTGTGCAAAAATGTGCAAAGGACGTGTTGACCGTAAACGGATTGAGTACCCACCGAGGACCACCTCACTGAGGATACCGCGAAGATAGTAGATGTGCAATCCAATAAACTACTCACTCGAACCACCTAGTATAGCACAGAAGACAACACATATCGATGAAGACGAAGAACTCCACCGACTATCTATTCATTTATCCATCCTCAGAACATCAATACCGCATCAGCATCATCATCGTCATCCTACTCTGACTATCGTAATATTCATTGACGACGTGTTCAAATGTATTTGAGGTTTGCATGAAAAATCATGACAAGGTGAATTGATACAACCCATGTAAATTATATTCCTCCAGAGTACACAGTGTTTCTGTTGTAACAATGGATAGGATCAAATGTTACTTTGTAACACGTTCCGATACACCCTGAACAAGTGATACAACTATTCACATAATTGTGGTTTCTGCGCCATCAAATCTTGGATCAAAACGTTCCTGGATTGTGAATGTGAAAATCCAATTAGGATAATTTTGAATTGCATTCGAAGGGGGATTCACTAGACACTATGTGCTTCCTAGAACATAGTTTGGTGCTTTTCGTCGTTATACAACCAACAATCTGAAATTCATTATTCTTAGACAATCCAACTGATGTTGCAGCCCGTTCGGTTACTGCTGATAATGAAAAATGGAAGTATCGTGTGAAATCATAGACAGTCGTGGGATTCAATTATTGTGTAATTTGTGGGCAACGTCAGATGATAAGTTAAGTTTTCCCTTCCCCGTTTGCATGATGAGTAGCCATGACCCAACGAGAAAGCCTCCGGTCAAAATTTGATCTCCCGGTTATTCGAAGGGTACATATACTGTTCAAACTAGAAAAGGACATTTATTTATCACACCATACATCTGGTAATGTACTTTTTGTAGTCATCAATGAACTGCTTACGAGCGAACTCCTTGGTGCTGTTCCATGGTACGTACTTTTGTCACATGAATGGGTGTCCGCACAGACAGACACTCTCTCACACATAAATGCATGTATCATGTGCACTTCTACGGGGTGTGCCAACCCTGGAAATGTGTAACCTCGTCCCTGGTCCTTGCATCCCCGCGGGTGTTACGTCTGAAATGAAGTATATCGTATTGGTGTCATTTATTGCCCAAGGCCAATAGTTGACGAACTGTCACGAAATATGACTATGTAGGAACATACATTGGAACGTACATTTGTGCCTATAAATTTATTAAGCAAATCCAAGTGTGTACAATTATGCTGAGTTGCGTTATGCGCAATGAAGTGTATAGGAGGAATAGCTAAAATGTACATAGGATACTGGCGAATATAATGAAAAGATTGGAGCAAGTTATTGTTAACCGCTTAGCAGTTCCAATACTGGAGTCGTTGTTGCTTTCAGTTAACGTTTTCAACTACCTCTCATCTGAGTATTAGGACAGATTCTTGTGAAGGCAGTCATTTCTTTTATGAACACCGATTTAGTGATTTTTGACTGTCTGTCGGCGAATTTCGTTGTGCACAAGACTACTTCTGAGATGCATATGTTGTGATCACTACATTCAGCTTGCAGAGATGGCTTTGGATCTCTCGTGTGTATACAAAATAAAAGCAAGGTTCTGCTTAGTTGCCCAGTGGTCAAGTGAGTAGTGTACTTGTGTCCTACCCGTGAGGCCCCGGGTTCGATTCCCAAATTG